TTTATTTCAAATCTAACCACTCAATAAACAAGCTATTCTCAGACACACTTAACCTGTATAGAACATAAATGACGTAAGGGAAAAAAATTCAGTGAAACCACTCTATCCACCAAAGTATGACCCCCCCCAAAAAAAAAATCAAGAATACAATTCAATATATTATCGCATGAACTTTTGTATAATAAGCCCATGCAAACAAAACCAAAGCTCAGATTTATTTCAACTATCTTTTAGTGTAAAACACAATTTAGACCTTTCATTAGGCAGCAACTCCTGTGTAAAAATCTGCATTTACCTTGCACTACATGTGAAAAAAAAATCTTCATTTTCCAATATTAAAATGATACATGCTTTCTGGTGATAGATAACCCAAGACCTAAACCACTTAGTTAAGGGAAACTAGTGAGCTTTAACAATAACAACAAAAAAGTGCCAAGGTTTTGAGGCCAAATCAATTTGGGTGTGAATTCAGGCCATCAATTATTATCCTGTGACAAGTCATTTATTCTCTGAGATCCTCAATTTCCCCATCTGTAAAATGATAATAACCACCTATCTTGCAACGTAGCTAAGATTAAACAATAAATGTTAAAACACAGTTATTGGCATTCAAAAGGAACTCAAACTAAATTAACAGTTTCTTAGAATATCCCAGGATTCAACAAGGTATAGGTCAAATCCCATTACACCAATGTTATGCATGCAAAAAGTATAAACAGGACTTACTTTTTCCCCCTTCTAACAACAGTCTGTCATTAAATACAAATTTTACCTTTGAGTGTACATTAGATTATCAAGAGCTTACAGAAATCTCTCTAGTTGGTCTCATCAATCCTAGTAATGTATTTTTCAATTAAAAAATAAAAAAGAACATTAACTTATTCGCCCTTCCTCCCTTTGGAGGAATGGGGAGTATAAAACAATTTCAATAATCTCTTGACTAACCGTATGTAAAGACTTCTTGTTTTCTTCTGGTTAGTATCAAAGATAGAACTATAGCAAGCATACATTAGGAACACAGGTCAGGTAGCAGATTACCACAGGTGCTAAAGAGATGTAGTTTTTTTTTAATGTACATATTCAAAAATTAAGACTCCACAAGCAACACCACTTACACTGAAGAAATATAAAATTTGGTTCAATTAAATACAAAGCAGGCAACCCAGGACATGTAAAAAAAAAATCTAACTGACAATTTTGTTTTCTCACATTATCTTTGCCAAACAGAAAGAACATGCAATAACCACCGCTCATGATAGCTGGAGATACAGAGAAAATATTATACAGGGACAGTACTGAACCACAAATTAAAAGTCCTATACACGTAACAAATGTAGAAAACTACAAAAGGAAAATGTAAACTTTTAAAATAGCTTTGATCTTTAAAGTTTCTTCTTTATTCTCCAATGATTAATCACATTTCAGTATATACGGATACCCATAGGTAACTGGGACTATCCCTTTCCTTTGCTAAGCTCCCCAACTTCCAAAATAGGTATACAGTAGTGCTCCACTGTACAATAACTGTCATTTCAAGTATCTGAATAATCTACTAATAGCAATCTCAAAGTGCTAATACAAGACTAAGTTGTTTTTTTCTCAACATGTGAGGCACAAACATCACCACATTAAAGAGATGTGAACCTTACCCTGCTAAGATACAATGAACAGATCATTGTGTCCATTTAATGTAAATTTTAAACTCAAAAGTTAACTTGCAGCATCAAAAACTGGAGTCTTCCATCTATTATAAACAACCAAAAACAAAAAGAATATGCTATTCACTGTTTACTCCCTTCCCACACATTACTGTGGGTGGCATCAGTTAAACACGCAGAATATTAAGCACTACCAAACCATCCAAGGCATATTTTCACATCTAACACTATATTCCCAAAAGATAATTTATTTGGGCCTGAGCCTGCTCCCCATCCCTCCCTACCTATTTTAATACATAGGTCCTCAGACAACCACCAATCATTAAGGTAAGATTGAAAAAGAAAATAATGAAAAAGAAATGTAGGATTTAATTTCATTAAAATGTGGAGTGTTTGAGCTTTAAAAAAATCCTAACTAAATAGACTTCAAAGTTACCAAACTCATAATCTGTTGGCTTAGTATTTTAGCTGTTACCTTGCCACAATAAATCTGAAGCCACAATCCTCATCATCTACTTAAGATTATTTGCAGAATTCAAAATATGTAATCTGTCTTCTCATAACATTCTTCTAAAGCTAAAATGTTGAATATGAATATACTAATATTAAGTTACGAAATATCTGTCCCTAGACTAAGGCGGAATTTTGCTTTAATAATGAAGAGGGAACACACTTTACCCAACATAAAAATTAAATATCCATTATTTTGGATTCCCTTTAGAACTTTGACATGTATTCAAAAATACATCTCATAGGGGTAAAAGGCCTGACACTGGACAACACAAAACTGCAGAAAATAAGGCACTTACCTTCAAAGAGTGTAGGAGCAATTCACAAATATACTAATTAAGGAAACTGAGGATTTCAATTCCAATGCACTTTTACTGCTGATGGGTAATGGTCAGAATGTCCTTTATAGAAAACATTAGAATATTTTACATATCGACTTTTAACTACAGCACCAAATCCTTAAAGGGGTGGGATTTAACTTATTTTATAAGTAAACATTCGTTTTCATATCAGTTATAAAAAAAAAAAGAACCCACCCCACCCCCACCGCCAGTCTGATACCTTAGAATGCTAGTTATTTCACAGTGGGAAAGAATGGCTAATATGTACATTTCTTTTCCAATCCTCCTCTATACCCATTCATTAAACACCAAATACTGAAACTGAATTCAACTCCTACCTCTATCTTCCTACCAGGAATGCGCCCTAGGGTACCCGAATCCCTTCCACTGTCACTTACTGCAACTGCCAAAGCCCCTCCTATTAATAGTAAACCCTTTCATACTGACTCACTGTAACTCTAACTTAATGAAATAGACAAGCAAAATTTACAAACTTTGAAAATGGAATTTTCCTGTTTTCAAAGGCTTAAAGAAAGAAACTAGAAGTTGACCACATTCAGACCAAGTTACAAACATTTAAAGTTCAGCCAATTTGTAAGAACTTATATTGCTTATTCTATATTGGTTCAATTTAAGTATTTTTTGGAAGTTTGTACATCAGGCATTGTGTGAGTACTTATATACAAGGCCAAGTTTTCCATGCAGATAACTGATATGTAAATACAAACCTATGTCATCACACCAAAATTCCAAGACAATTTGAAATCTTTTCTTCAAAATTTTTTAATTATGGAAATTTTCAAGTATACACAAAAAGTAGAGAGAATAATAGTACAATGAGCTCTCCTGGAGTCATCATCCAGCTACAATCAACTCAAGGCCACTTTTGTTTCATCTCTACCTCCCACCACTCCCTCCTCCAAATCATTATCTTCAGAAAAGTATTAAGACAACACTGTGCTCAAAGAGTACACTGAGAAAAATCCAAAGATACGGAAGTATCAAAGACTAGCAAGAAGTCAAGAATTTAGCAATGTAACTGTCACCCTACACAACTACTTGTTAGGCAGAAAATTTAAGAATTCAGTTAAAAACAAAGAAATAGCCATCTTTAAGAATTTTAACAAAGTTCGTAAGATCCAAAGGGCATATTTAAAATTATATCTACAAGGATAAAAAGGAATATGTGATGAAAATGAACTTAAATATCTGCAATTAGCTTGTATTCATATAGCACCTCGGCTCAAAACGAAAAAAAAAGACTATTTAACATAATGTGTCATAAAATTACAATTCAACCACTTGAAAAACCGCTGAACACTTATGCCTTAACTGGTCCTTCTGATCCCTAATTATAGATTGATATCAATGTAAAAAGAAAACCAGGCATTTTAACCGAAGTGGTTTAAAATGTTCAAAATTAACCCCACCGTTCATTGGAAAATATACGAAAGCAAGTCTAAACTACCTGTATTGTATGTCATTAAACAGAAATGTATCCACTTTCCAGGGCCGATTTTTTTTTTTAATAAGTTCACATATACCCTGAAACGCAACGCGCTAGGCTACAGATAGAATTAGAAGACCGCCTCCTGCTCTTGCTCCTAACCAATACGCAGAGAGAGAAGGTTGGCAGGAAAGTGCTGCGAGGACAGTAACAAACACCAGCAGCTCCCGAGCAGGCCCTGCTAGAGCCAGGAATGACGCACTTCGGTAACCCGACTCTTTCTCCCCTCCACCCCCGCCCCCAGCAGCGGTGCTGACACCGCCAACAGCCCGGAGTAGGAAAAAAGACAACAGAAAAAAGGCAGAGGTTGGACCGCACCAGGTTTCATCAAGAAACCTCGATTATTCCTCTTTCAACACTAACCACTAGGACTAAACAGGAAAAGAAGCTTCGTGCTTAAGCAAGTCCCATCATGGTGGTTTAAGAGTCACTAAATTAAGCTGATAATGAGTCCAATCCACAGAGACAAATACAGGGTGTGGCTGCCGTGAAATACGGCGGTCCGTGGGAGAAAAGGGGTATGGAATTTACACTCCAGTACGAGGGGAAGATGGGGCTTTACCGGGGGGGGGGGGGGGGGGGGGGGGGCCCGCGTAAATTTTAAATAACCATTTAATCAAACACCATGACCCTCAATTAAGAAACTACATCCAAGCGAAAGGAGGAGGGAGGGGGAAGGGAGGGGTGGTAGGCAACAACATATAAAACATTTCTAGGCCACCGTGGAGAAAGTCTTACAAACCGGATGAAACTACTAATGCAATATTAAAAATTAAAGCTGAACACTGCAGCACGAAAAATCTCACGATAAAACCCATTACAGTTCAGAATTAAAAATAAAATGACACATACACCAAGGGAGAGCGAAAACTAAATGTCGAAAGTACAGCGGTTTATAAAAAACTAAAGGCAAAACAAGACCTCGCGACAAAAAAAAAAAAGGCAGAAATCAACAATACGTTTACGAATGTAGGCCAGAAGAAAATGGGAACGGGGCTCAAAGTTTTGCGGAACTACTTGATGCTGTTTCCCACACCTTCTCTCTCCCATGGCCCAACAGACCCTTTTCGTGCTAAAATCGCCGTCCACAGATCACCGGGTACGCGAGAGAAGAAAAAAGAAAGTCAACCCCAAGCAAGAATAAAAGTGTGGAGGGAAAAAGCAGAAGCTGCCTACCTGGGGCAAGGATCAGCTCAGTTCGTGTCTTGAGAAAGACAGTGCGGGTGGGGGTGGGAACGAAAAGCAGCACTAAAACTAAAACAAAAGTGGCGCCAAAACCCCCCAACAAACAGCCTTCCACTCCCGCCCTTCCCCCCTCCTCCCATGCCAAGCAGGCAGGGCCCCCTTCGGGGCAAGGTCTGCACGCGGGGGCCAACACCACCAGACCCCAGCCTATTTACAAAATTGTTGCCCGAAGAAAACTGACCGAAGTCGGGCCTCGGAAGGGATGGAGAGATCGATGCCAATCGCTTTCCCAAGCAGTTCCCCCACCACGCGCTGGAGATGATGGGGCGGGGGAGAAGCAGAGGGGCCCGTCACATGAATGTTGTTCCCTCTCTAGGAAGGGAGGAAGAGAGGGAGGGAGCGTAGGGAGGGAGGAAAGGAAAGAGGGGAAGGGAGAAGGGAGGGGGCACGAGGGAGGGGTGTGATCAGAGTAGATTTCCCCTCGCCTCCCTCGGTCCGAGGCCCAAATATACACAACTGAGCCTCCGCTTCTCCCCTCCCCCCTAGGTTCCCAGCACCACCATTTTGCTCTCTTCCTTCCCCTCACCACGATACCGCGCTCTCCCCCACCCCAGCCACGGCCTCCCCGGCTTTCCTCCCCCGACTACGGCTCGCACTCCACCCCACCTCCAGTTTGGGCTCTCCCAGGCTTAAGAGCCTGCCGGAGAAAAGGCACCTAAATCTAATGCTACACAGAGAAGCGGAGCCTCCATCTTGCGCTGCTCCGCGTTCTCCATTTTGGGCCACCCATGGGGGGGGGTCTCCGTGGAGGCCCCGAGGGAGAGTTGGGCGAGGGAAGCAAGAGAGAATCTTCAGCGAGGGTAGTCGAAAAGAAGAGTCCGTGCAGTAGAAAGCCACTCTAGGAGTAGGAGGTAGGGAGGAAGGGGGGCTGGAAGTTCCTTGGTAGTGTTGAGGTAGCCACTTGGGGGGAGAAGGCAGAAAGAAGGGTTGGGGGTTACGCGGGGACGGGGAGGCTTCTCCCCGTCTTGACTTAGCCACCCGCTCCATGGCTGGCCCCGTTGGGAGCAAAGGGAGTAGAGGGGAAATTAAATGGCAACAGAGTGCCCATTCTCTTTCCCTCCCAACTCCTCTCTCGCGCCCTATTTCAACCATACACACCTCACAGTGGGCCCCGCGCCCTCCGGGTGCCCCTCCAAACTTCTAGAAGCTTCGCCTCCGCCATTTTATAACTTACCTCCCCCCTCAGCGTACACAGAGGCAGCAACGAGACTGTTCGCCTCCCCCACTCCTCCTTCCTTCTTTCTCAGGCCGGGGGCTTCTTCACCCCTGGGCTGGTACAAGATATTTTCCCCTTCCTCTTCTTTACACCCTCGAATTCTACTCAGGGACGGAAGCTCCCGCGGTTCTAGAGCGGTGGGGGGTTTTGAAAGTGGCGGTCGGATCCGGCGGGTTTTTTTTTCTTTTTTTTTTTTTTTTTTTTTTTTTTTTTGGTGGCGCTTCGGGATTGTTTGGGGTGTTCGCTCTTCGGCGACTTGGAGGCGAATGGAACGCGCAGGCGCCATCTGTCGGCCACGAACCCGCGCTCGGCTCCTGTTGGGAGGGAGCGGCATCTAGCGGCAGAGAGCTGGCACTGCAACGCTTGTCTCCCAGCGTCCTCCTCCCTATCACCGACCAATCGTGGCCGACTGCCTCCCGGGTTCAGCGTCTCCGACGCCGCCTGCGAACGAGGCGCCCGCAGGGGCGCGCCGCCGAGTGGGGTAAACAAGGTGCCGTGCCCGCGCCTGACTTACTCATTCGTTTGGCAGCGCTTCCGCCGCGGACCGGAGCGGGCCGCGTTTCCTCTTTCTTTAGTGGGGGGAGGGGGTCCGAAAGGAGGTCGTTAGGGATGTCCGGCAGAGCCCCGAGCCGTGGGAAATCGGAAACCGGGCTCGCTCGGAACTCGTCCCCCGGGCCCCTGCGCCCCGCGCGCAGCCCGAGGTTGGCAGCCCAGTCGGGCATCACCCTTCCCTGTCCCCTCCTCTGACACGCCCCAGCAAGGGGCCTTCCGCCCTAGTTCCGGACCCTCGCTTCCCCGCGGTCCCTACTCCTTCCCACCGAAAGAACTACTGGCGGAACTCTGGCACCTGATCCTAAGTGATTTAGGGGTTTTGCTTTTTGAGTTTCTGTTTTGTTTTGTTTGCTTTTCGCTTCGGCTGTGGAGAGAAAGCAAGCCGATTCTCTACCAGGAAGACGACACTGGAGAAAAAAAAATATTTTTTCTTTACATCCCACTATTCCCGACTCCCAGAAAACGTGGTCTCTCTCTCTAGGGTCTGGGAGACTTAAGGAACTGGGCTACTAGGCTAGGCCGGGCGCTCGACCAATTTATTCTTGACTCTTGGGGCGGGTTGGGGGAAGGAAACGGGACGGAGCGAAGTGGAGGGAAATCGAAATTTGGGCTGAAGGAGTCCAGGGGGACCTACCCCGTTTTCCCCCGCCTTCCTTGATTATCCACCGTCTTCCTGGAAACGTGGGACCCGGCGGCCTTGCGACTTTGTTGAGAATTTTGGTTCCTTCTTATCCTGCCTCTTCACCCCTCCCCCAAGGTGTTTGAAGTGCGAAAGGACCCCTTGCGCTCCTTTGACCCCCAGTTAACGCAAGTCTCTATTACCCTTTTTATTTTTTTGTTTCGAATCCAGCCTCCCGGACCTTTGACCGCCGAGAGCTCTCTACGCGGGGGAGAAAAACTCGGGGAGGGCCTGTCCCCTCCGAAGCGCCGCTTTTCCTAGGACAGGAAGAAGTGACCTATTATATGTCTCCATTGCTGTTATAGAAGTTCCCAGATTCATACAATAGTGTGTAGCTAGAGCTCTTCGTTCCTCTTTACTTTTAAAAATTTTTGGTTAGACTATTCCCTTAATATTGAATTACTTTTTAATTACAAGAAAAGGAGTAAATGTATTTAATAACAAGACAAATTTCCTAAATGAGGAGAAATGAAAGCCCCGTGTAAACCGTGGAGATTTCACCCGGTATAACCTCTAAAGCATTCCTAATGCAATATAATGATTAATCTCATTCCTCAAATTATATTCCACGCTTTTAGTTTCTCTCCCATTCTCTGTGCTTACTGTTTTTTTCCTGCAACTTTAAAAGAGTTATGGTGTATTTAATCAACTGAATAATAAAAGTTAAACAAACATCTAAATATCAATAACAAGAAATAAAATCCGAGACATTTTTACTTACCTCTAAAGCTTTCGGGAGTGGAATACTATTCAAAATAAATTTTCATTTCTTTTATAGACCATATTTGGTAGAATGTTATACAGTTTTTAATAGATTCAAGTTACAGAATGATGCAGCTAGAACATTAAATAGGGAGTAGTGGAAAATTTACAGTTACATAAGTTAATGCAAAATTCCACTTAAAGTAATAGAAAAATTGGGCTCTGTACCAAATCATTTTACATTAATTTAGTTCAATTGTGCCAATTTAATATCAATTGATATTAAATGATTTCCTGTCTTAGGATTAGCTGAAAACTACTAATTTTCTGCTCCAAACATCACATTTATAGTACATGGTGCAAACAGTTTTTCATCTATTTTATAAATTCACATTCTCATCTGATTGTGTAGCAACTTAGACTTTAAACAATTTTATGCCTCGAAAAGTTCTGTTTGGTAAACTTATTTTCATCTTGTGAAAAATACCATTGAAGAAAATAACTGTAACTGGTATAACATCAGATAAAATTTTATAGCAAATTTATACTGATATTTAAGTGTTTCACAATAGCCTCTCTTTCTAGAGCTTATTCACAAGAATATTTATTGAGCCTTCAGCGTGTGCAAATCACAGTGCTATGTGCCCCAGTCCTATCCTAAGAAGTGAAATTTCTTTCATAGGATACTGAAAGATCAAAGAGTAAACCCTAGGAATTTGAGGACAAAGTGAGAAAATGCCATCAAATGAAATATGTAACTGACGTAAAATAAGCTTTAATTATTTGTAACCTATTCTTCATGAAAAAAAAAGTCCTTCGTAATATTGTAATGACAGAAGCTTTTGGTGCCTGATGAGAAATAAGAAAAAGGAAAGTTGAATATTTAGAACATTTGATGCTATTTAAGGGACAAGACACTATTTGATGCAATATTCTGGTCACTAGAAATGCACACCCAACAGTGTGGCAGAGATAATCTTCTAGCCTTACCATAATCTGAATAAAGCATCCCACAGTTCTCTTTAACTCCATCTATACAAATGGAGCAAGCTTCTTTTTTTTTCTTTTTAAGATTTGATTTATTTATTTGACAGAGAGAGACACAGCAAGAGAGGGAACACAAGCAGGGGGAGTGAAAGAGGGAGAAGCAGGCTCCCCGCTGAGCAGGGAGCTCGATGTGGGACTGGATCCCAGGACTCCTGGATCATGACCTGAGCCGAAGGCAGACGCTTAATGACTGAGCCACCCAGGTGCCCCTGGAGCAAGCTTCTGATTATAAATTAAGTTTCCTAGATAGCCTCCTACTCTAAGCAGCATGTATATATATTCTGTATTTTCTAACACCATTCTAAATGTGACCTAAAATCCAGAAGCCTGAAGATGGATAAATGAGTCCACAGAAATTTAAAATTATGTATATCAAAATACCATAAACAAAGTCAAAAGATAAAGTATAAGCAGAATATATCTGCTACATGAATGGAAAAGGCGTAATACATATGAAGAACTTTCACAAATAAGTAAGATAAAAATACTCCAATAGAAAAATGGAGAAAGGATATAAAAGAGTCAACTTATTGGATAAGAAATGCAGATGGCACCTGGGTGGCTCAGCTGGTTGAGCTTCCCACTCTTGGTTTCAGCTTAGGTCATGATCTGGTTGTGGGATTGAGCCCTACGTTGGGTTCTGCGCTCAATGCAGAAGCTGCTTCAGATTCTTTCTCCCTCTTCCCTCCCCCTCTGCCCCTCCCCACTTAAACACACACACACACACACACACTCGCTCTCTCTCTCTATATATCTCTTATCTTTCTCTAAAATGAAATTTTTTTTAAAGATTTTATTTATTTATTTGAGAGAGAGAGAATGAGAGAGACGAGGGTCAGAGGGAGAAGCAGACTCCCTGCTAAGCAGGGAGCCCGATGTGGGACTCGATCCCAGGACTCCAGGATCATGACCCGAGCCGAAGGCAGTCGCTTAACCAAATGAGCCACCCAGGCGCCCTCTAAAATGGATTTAAAAAAGAAATGCAGATAGCTAATAAATACATAAAACAGTGCTCAACTAAATTCACCACTAAAGGGGCGCCTGGGTGGCTCAGTCGTTAAGCGTCTGCCTTCGGCTCAGGTCATGATCCCAGGGTCCTGGGATCGAGCCCCGCATCGGGCTCTCTGCTCCGCGGGAAGCCTGCTTCTCCCTCTCCCATTCTCCCTGCTTGTGTTCCCTCTCTCGCTGTGTCTCTCTCTGTCAAATAAATAAATAAAATCTTTAAAAAAAAATAAAAAAATAAAAACAAATAAATTCACCACTAAGGCCTGCCAATTAAATACACTTTGCCAGCAGGTTGGCGGAGATGAAAAATTTTGGTAACACTCAGTGTCAGTGAAGAACTAAGAATTCTCATATATTGCTGGTGGGAATTGTTTAAAAACAAGGTATCTCATAACATACAAAGTGTAAAATTAGGGGCGCCTGGGTGGCTCAGTTGGTTGAGTGTCTGCCTTGGGCTCAGGTCATGATCCCAGGATCCTGGGGTCAAGCCCCCACATCGGGCTCCCTGCTCAGTGGGGGAGTCTGCTTTTCCCTCCCCCTCTGCCTGCCACTCTCCCTGCTTGTGCTCTCTCTGTCAAGTAAATAAATAAAATCTTAAAAAAAAAATGTAAAATTAGCCTAACACTTATATTTCTAGAAATCTATCATACAGATATGCTTGTACAAATTACACAAAGATCTATGTAGTAAAACTTTTATCATAGCTTTGTAATAAAGAGAAACTGAAAATAGAAATGGCATCATTTAGGGAATTGGTTAAAGAAATTATGATACGTCCATACAATGGGATCCTATTTCCATTTAAGCAATTAAGTACAGGGGCACCTGGCTGGCTCAGTTGGTAGAGCATGAGACTCTTGATCTCAAGGTTGTGAGTTCAAACCCCACATTGGGTGTGGAGCCTACTTAAAATTAAAAACAATTTTAAAAAGCAACTACATATTTATCTACTGACATCCAAATATGTCTAAGATATGTTGTTAAGTGAAAAATAATTTGTAAATAGCTTGTATAGTGTGATCCCATTTGTGAATATATATATTTATATACATATATGTGCTGACATATGCATAAAGCATTCTTGAAGAATATGTAGAAAACCTAACAATTACTTCTCAGGAAAGAGGTTGTGCAGGCTTCCAGGATTTGTCATTTTACTTTCACTTTATACATTGCTACCTTATGTGAATTTTTTTACAGTAAGGGGATATTACTTATGTAATTTTTAAGATCTAATACTGGTTACTATAGAAAACAATTTGGCACTTTCTGATAAAGTTAAGCATATACTTACCATATGACCCAGCAATCTTGGTCTCTTAGTCCTGAGCATTTATCCTAGAGAAATGAAAATGTATGTTTACCCAAAAACCTGCATACAAATGCTCATAGCAAATTTGATCGCCAAAAGCAAGAAACAATCCAAATGTCCATCAACCGGCAGATGGTTGAACAAACTGTGGTATGGTCATACAATGGAATACTACTCAGCCATCAAAAGGGTTACTGATACATGGGACATCTTGGCTGAACCTCAAGAGCATTATGCTCACTGGAAAAAGCCAATCTCAAAGAATTACACATCGTATGATTCCATTATGTAATATTCTCAAAATGTCAAAATTACAGTGATGAACAGATCAGTGGTTGCCAAAGGCTAGGGTTGAGGAAAAGGTGTGACTATTGATGGGTAACGGGAGGGGGTTTCTTTGCAAAGGTGAAACAATTGCGTATCCTGATTGTGTGTTTACTTAAATCAACACATTATAAAATTTCATAGAACTACAAACACACATACACACAACTGCATGAAAAAATGAAATTGGATAAGGTCTGTACTTGAGTTAATAGTACTGTATCAATGTCAGTTTCCTGGGCTTGACAATGTACTATGGTTATATAAACTATTACCATTGGGATGGGGTGCCTGGGTGGCTCAGTCGTTAGGCGGCTGCCTTTAGCTCAGGTCATGATCCCAGGGTCCTGGGATCGAGCCCCGCATCAGGCTCCCTGCTCCGCGGGAAGCCTGCTTCTCCCTCTCCCACTCCCCCTGCTTGTGTTCCCTCTCTCGCTGTGTCTCTCTCTGTCAAATAAAGAAATAAAATCTTTTAAAA